GATAACTGTTCATCATTTCCATCTCTAATCAGTCTATCACCACTGGAACGTTCCTCTTCAACTTGTGCTTGAACATGTTGATCGCCTTCAAAAGCTGCTTCGGCACGTGTAGCATTTTCATTCATGGCCTTCTCCGAATTTTAGTCAGGATGTCCTTTAAAAATGGAATCGAGGTGCGCCGCGCCAAATAAAAATTACAAATCGCGTGGCCCTCTTTAATTATATTATTAAAAATATTTTAGAAATTCGGGACATGCCATTTAGCGAATTTTCATGGCTTCCCGCAAAGTTAATAAGACGCTAGCTACTTTAGGCGCGCTTTTAATAATATTATTTTCCTAAATTCGGGAGTGCATTTCATGCAACCCAAATCTAAATCCCAAAACGTTGAATAAGAGGTGTTGAGGATCCGGGTGCATTTCATGTGACGTGATCCAAAAACACGCTCTTAAACGGCGTTCACTTTCGTAAAAAATAACTAAAAGCGGTAAATAATCTTAAAATTGCACTATAGGATGGAATATGTATAAAAATCAGATTTTAGCCATTTATAATAATTTAAGCGACCGTGCTAGAACCACGGGATCCGGGGGTGCCTAACACCTTCCCTCGGGTCAACAGAATTCCGTATTCAGAATTTCTGGTTCGCAGACTCCAATTGGGAAGTCGACAATTTTTCTCGATTTGGGATTCAAGTTAAAACCGGTGACTTGGGACACCAAAGCCAATCTTATCCCAAGTGGCGACTCTAAAAATCAAATAAATAATCCCATTTCGAATAATGTCACTTTAAATGGAAAAACTCCCTTATACATTTATCCTTCGGGGTAGGTGTGTAAAAAAAGGAGGTGTGACAGCTCTGGCGACTCTGCTGGGGATGCGAACCCAGAATTTCGATTCAGGGTTCAAGAATTCGAGCTTAGTTCAATTGTTATATTTGGCTTTATCTGATTTTTCTACATGTTCCATGCTATATGTTCTAAATGTTTTACCGCTTTGATATTTGTTGAAATTGTATATATAAACTGTCGCGAATCCCTTCCTCTTTCTGAGTCTTCTACATCATGGAGAAGGGTGCACTTCGTGTAGCTTCTCTTCTGTTTAGAGTCTTTTCCCATTTAGAACGAGGTTTGGATAAGTTGCTAAGCCGGCGGAGCTTCTGTATCCCCGGTACGCTGCCTCCCCCTCGGCTCGAGTTGTCCGCTCGGGTAAGCCAGGTCTAGACCAATAAACCTAGGGTTAAACCTAGAAGAACCGATGTAGACTTTTCTGTCAGGCCAGGGTGCAAATAATACTACAGCTTCTAATTCTTCGATTGTTGTTTTGATGTTTTTATTTTCTTCTGGTTCTTGGATGGTGTCAGGCCTCGAGTCTACATCTGTTCGCCCATGCTTAGTTGAGGTTTGCGTTGCAGCATCCTCAACTTGGTTCTGTGATTGCTATTTGTCTTTGCTTTTTGCGCTTGCATCTGCTACGGAATTAATGCTTCGAGATGCTTGTTGGTCACCACGTATTTGCCGTATTCCCCATTGTGAAGGGAATTTGATAACTTGATGCAAAGTGGATGGAACAGCATCCATCTCATGAATCCATGGTCTACCGAGAATCATATTGTAAGTCATATCCATTTCTACTACTTGAAATTTGGTGTCTTTGACTACTCCTTCTGCGAATGTGGTGAGTATTATCTCGCCTTTTGTCACGACGTTTGAGTTGTCAAAACCGGATAAGATATGAGCCTTGGGTATCAGCCTATCATCAGCTTGCATCTCATTCACCACTCTCAACAGAATGATATTCACCGAACTACCTGGGTCAATCAAAACTCGTTTTACATTAGTGTCATGTACAAGTAAAGATATTACCAGTGCATCATTATGCGGGGTTAGCACGCCATCTGCATCTGCATCAGCAAATGTGATACTATCTTCTTCCAAAACCTGTTGAACTCGCTTCCCGTGGGTAATTGTGATTTTTGACACTTTCTTTGCTGCCGAGAATGTTACGCCATTAATCTATTCTCTTCCACTTATGACATTAACCGTCCTTTTTGGTGAAGGAGGCTTTGGTGGTTCCTGCCTATTTTTATATATTCTTGCTTTCCTTTTTCACTAAACAATTCAGTTAAATACCCTTGTTTTAATAAATGTTCTGCTTCACCTTGTAATAACCCGTAATCCGCTGTTTTATGATCTTGATCGTTGTGAAACTCGGACCAAAAATCAGGATTTCGCCTGTTCGGGTTTGATCTCATTTCTTTTGGCCAGCGTACCTTGTCCCCCATGCTCCTTAAAACAGCTACCAACTCGGATGTGCTAACATTAAAACTGTAACCTCCGATCTTTGTTTTCGAGCTTCTATCATCATCACGCGTATCCCGCATGTTTCGTTCCTTTCCAAACCTTGATGACGATCCTGACTCTTTGTCTTTTGATCTAGAATCAAACCTTGGGTTTTCCTGTTTTCAACGCGAGTCTCTTCCTGCTGGTCCTATGTAAGGTTCATACCTGTTTTTACCAGACCTTTTTTCAGTTTCAGCTCGCCTTGAACTTACCCTTTCATCCCTTCGAGATTGAATGATAGTATCTTCTTCTATCCGTAGCTTTGTGCTGTATCTGTTATAAACATCATTCCAAATTGTTGCTGGAAACTCTCGTAAACTTTCCTTGAGTCTCCTCGTGGCTTCTGAACTTCTTTCATTTAGATTACTAGCAAATGCCATAGCTGCCCAGTTATCAGGTACACATGGCAACATCATCCTCTCACGTTGGAATCTGTCTACGAATTCCCTGAGCAGCTCCGCATCTCCTTGCTTTATTTTAAAAATGTCCATTATTCTTTTTTCGACATTTTGAGCTCCCGGGTGTGCTTTTATAAATGAATCTGCAAGCTCAGCAAAAGAATCTATAGAATTTTCGGGTAAAAGAGAATACCATGTTAATGCTCCCTTAGTGAGTGTTTCTCCGAATTTTTTGACCAATACTGATTCAATTTCTTGCTAGGTCAAGTCGTTGCTTTTTACACCGGTCGTGAATGTAGTCACGTGATCCTTAGGATCAGATGTCCCATCGTATTTCGGAATATCGTGCATCTTGAACTTCTTTGGAATTCGTAAAGGAGCGGCAGTTGGCTTCCAAGGTTGTCGAGAGTATTTGTCCATGTCTATTCCCTTGATTACAGGCGGCACTCCAAGTATCTGCTCTATGCGATCGTTCTGCTCCTTGAGCTGTTTTTGCAAGGTTAGTACTAAACTTTGTAAATCAAAATTAATTGGGTTACCTGACCCTCCATCTCGAGATTCGCTAGGAGTTCCTCCACTGCCTGAGTTAACGAGTCCTGAGCGAGGATTTTCCACGGTGTTGTTGTTTGGAGTTGGTGTTGGTAGCACAACACCTGGAAGCTGGTTAGCAAAATCCTGAAGAGCATTGCTGACCTGTTGAGCGATTAACTTTTTCAAAGCTTCATTAATAGCCTCATCATTTTCAAACTGATCATTCACATTTGACTGAGATCCATCAGGAGTTCCTTCTCGAGATTGTCGAGGAGAATTTCGTGGGGAAGGGACCGGAGTTCCATCACCTTGCTGATTCACCTGGTGTTGATGGTCTCCTTGATTGTTGTCATTGACATTCAACATGATTGATTTGACGAAAAAGTCGACTTAGCAAACAATAGATTATCAGATTCCCGGTAACGGAACCAATTTGTTTAACCAGAAAATAGGAATTCCGGTCAAAGCTAATATTTTAGAAGAACTCGTGTTACTGGTAATCAAGAAAATTAGATAGAAATAATTAGACTTGTAATAAGAAAGCAATAAGAATGCGTAGAAGTAAGTGTATTTCAGTAGTGGTTCGAACGTGTTCCTACAAGTGATATTTTCTTCCCTTTTATAGGGAATTTCTTAATATAACGCCTACTCTCATTAATGATTGAGCATTAATGACTAATAATATCATTAATGAAATGTTACAATAGGTAATCGTAACTGTTGCGTGAAGATGATGTAACGTTTGGCTCATTGATTGAAGATCTTTGAATCTGCCCTTTATTCTGCCTTGGTTCATTCTGACTGTGTCTCTTCAACTCCTCAATTAGACTGAGGCCCTCATCTAATTGTTTTGTGGATATGCTGTTCCGTTCCTCTTTGTCTCGTACCTCTTTGTAAACTTGTGACCAGCTGTCATGTTTCTATTGCTCCACATGGATCGCCTTGTCATCAGAAATATTACACGTGTGAAGTCTATTTTTTATCAATACAGTACAAATGTCATAAAGTTAGCACCTCGATTAACACACGGAGTCAGAAAGCTTATATACTCCTCAATCCAAAATAAATACACGGAGTCAGAAAGCTCAAATAATTGATCCAAAGAGTATAAAAATGGCATCTACTTTTGTAATGATGCATATTTTCTATATATAATATTTCTCTTTCAACCAAGGAAAAAATCTTCACATAACTACAGTAATATAAAGAGAAGAAAAAGTCTAGAGACATTTAATAGTGATTTAATGCTTTTAGAAAGGTACAAACTGTTGTAATCCAAATCAAGATATTGTAAGAGTTGACTAAACTCAATTTTTCCTATATACTATATAAAATTACACAACCCAAATTCCCTCGAAAAATCCCTTTTTTTCTTCGAAATGACTCTCTCCTTGATCAACATTTTCTTCTTGTTATTGTTATTAACTCCAATTGACCTTTCAAGAGCAAAATCATGTTTCATAACTCGAAGGTTTTACGTACATGTTATCGACAAACTTCCTTCTAATTCCTCTAAACTGCAAGTTCATTGTGCTTCTGGTGATGATGACCTCGGATACCATAGTCTTACTGCTAATCAAGAATTCGATTGGTCGTTTTGTCAAGGATTTGCTTGGACAACTTTATTTTTTTGTCATTTTTGGTGGGGTACAAAGAATAAAAGCTTTAATGTGTTTAATGATCCAGTACATTGTGTAGAAGATGGAAAACTTCCAAAGCTTACAGAGCAGTGTGCATGGGTTGTGAAATCAGATGGTTTTTATTTAGGAACTTATATAAGCCCTGGAATTGTTGAAGATATGTATCGCTATACTGGGTGGTAGTCTTAGGGTGTAAGATATCTTTGTGAATGGAATTAACAGTGGTTATTTTGCTTTTTTAGTTATATTCTCTGGCCATTCTCAACTCCTGTACATGTTGTCTTTCAGAGCAAGAGTTTAAGCTCCATTCATGCACAATTGGTATGAAAATTATTTATAAAATCAGATCACTTATATCTAATTAATGGTGTAATCTGATAGAAAAACAATTTCATTTCTTTTTTTTTTAATCAGCTGCAACCTGATTCATATTTTCTAGTTGACATACTTGAATTTTAATAAAAAAACAATATACACAAGTATAAATATTATAACAATGTTCGGATTTTAAAAACGGAAAAGGGTTCAAAATGCCCCTAAACTATTGGAAAAAGTTTAAAAATACGCTTCATCCACCTATTGGGCTAAAAATATCCCTCCATCCACCTTTTTGGTTCACTTATGCCCTTTGACCGTTAGGTCAATGCTGAATTAAAAATAATTATTATTCTTTTTGTAAAACTTAAAAACAATATATTTTACAAAATATTTTATTTTTTTTAAACTAATGCAACAGTAGTCCACTAATTTAGTAAAGTTTTCTTCTTCTTTTTTTTTTCCAGTTTTTACAAAAAACAATTCAGTTTTTTAAAAAAATATTTTTTTTTTCATTTTTTTTAAAGCTTTTTTTTTTTTTGTAAAAACTGAATTTTTTCTTGTAAAAACAGAAAAAAATAATGTTTTTAATAAAATATTTTTATTTTTTAAAACTGAAAAAAATATTTTCAACAAAATATTTTCGTTTTTNTATGCTCATTACTAAACTTGTTGAAGAGATGAAATATACCAAGGTATATCTTTTTGATACAGAGGTTGAATCGATCATTTAAGGCCAAAAAATTAGGAATACATTACTGGGGAAAATCAAAACTTCCATACGAAGAGAAAGCAAAATGAAAGGCTTTACATAAAAATTCTCGTAGAAATCGAGAATGAAGTTTTCATTCTGTACATGCCAGATCATGAATTAAGTAACTGACTTCCAAATTTCCAAAAAAAAAATCCCAATTGTGTCGAACTTTCCATTTTTGGAATAGTTACGGAATCTCCATGAATAGGATCAAACCTTATTCCATGGTATTTACATGAGGTTCCTCTTTATTTAAACCTTTTTCAATAGTTTAGGGGCATTTTGAACCCTTTTCCGTTTTAAAAAATATAATAAAATATAAATAATAGAACTTGATTCCAGAAATTGCAAACCTGATATCAAAACGAAAATCACTACTTGGGTTTGCTTGCTGTAATGCTTGAAAACCTGAGAAAGAATAACATAAATGTACAATTTTATTTATTCATTGTTCTTCAGCCCTTGTTTTGAGAGAATAGATAGCTTTGTAGGAGGAAGGAAGAGAGTAAACAGTACACGTTTATTATGAAAAAATATTACTCCCTCCATTCCAATTTATTTGAACTTGTTTGACTGGGCACAGAGTTTACGCAAAAATGAAAGACTTTTGAAATTTGTGGTCCTAAACAAGTTAAAAGGGGGTTCAAAGTATGTGTGTGGTTATAAAAGATTCTCATTAAAGGTAGAATTGTAAGTTTAAGCTAAATTGTTTCCAAATTTAGAAAGGGGTCATTCTTTTTGGAACGGACCAAAAAGGAAATAGGTTCACATGGACCGGAACGAGGGGAGTATTAATATGGGGTTTCATGAAGAAGAATTAACCTAAATAGCCGCTCAACCATCCGCTTAAAGTATAAATAGTTGACGGATATATAATGTGCGTATAATCATATACTATTAGTGTTGAATCTATATATACAAACTAGAAAAAGTAAACAGTGAATCCGACTAACTACTTGTGAAAAATCCCTTCAAAAAAAAAAAATCAGGGCCCAGAGCAGATGTTTCAATGACTTGGGCCTTCAGCCAGCTACGAGATACACTTTTCAGGGTAAAGTACACCAATAGCCCTCAAAGTGGATGCTCTTGAATTTTTGTTCCCGCTTGTCCCATGGGCAGAACTTTAAGATTGACAAGTATTTCCCTTGTTTGCCCACATGAACAACACTTTTTACTTTTGACTTTGAAGTTCTGCCCATGAGAAAAGTGGGGGTCAAAAGTACGGGTACAAAGAAAACCGACAAACCGCACCAAACCGATAATCCGAGTCAAACCGAGAAAAAAAAATCCGGCTATGGTTTGGTTTGATTTGGTTTGATGTAAGAAAACAAAACCCGACCATAATTGATTTTGTTTGGTTTTAACTAAAAAAAGTCAAACCGAAACCAAACCAACCCGACATTACATGTGTGCAAGTTTTAAAAATCTTTTATACATAAAAATAATTATTGTAATGCAATTTATATATAATTTAAACTCTTTAATAGTTTTCTCATTTAGTGTATTATTTAAAGCTTGGACTAAGAATTTTTGAATGGTCACATATGTTTTATAGCCCATAAAAGTTAGAAACTCATATAAAGCCCAAAGCAAAATCAAATTAATACTAATGCTAACAAACAAAATTTAATTCAATACTATAAATGACAATAGTATTGAGTATTTATTTTTTTAGTTTTGCATTGATTTAGATAGTGAAAATGCATAACTCACTTTTAATATTATTTAGTCATGTAATTAATACTTAGTACTTATTAGTCGTACTTATTTTAACATGACTTAGTACTTTTAGATTATGTTTATTTTTATTATGGCTTATTAATTAGCAATATTTACCTTATGTGATTTGTTGAGTATTTTAGTATAATCATGACTTATCTCGCATCATTTTATATTATTTTATTGGAAAACATCTTATATAGTTTTATCCTACTAGGACCTAAGAAATATTAGAGCAAGTATTATAAATTTTATGCTANAAAAAAAACGAAAAACCAGAGAAGTGGTTGAAAAATCCGACTTTTGTTGGTTTGGTTGGCTGATAAATTTAAAATTCCGAGACAATTGGTTTGGTTGGTAATTAAAAAATCCGAACCATCCCGGCCTAGTCAAAAGTTAAGACCATCCCAAAAAAGTATTATAATCCTGCAAATATTTTGCACTTTTTCCATCTAAACAGGGGTGATAGGTCTCTGATCCAATAAAGTTTAAATGTGCAGTTGAAACTGTGAGACAAGCTAATTAATGAGGATTTATCTCTAAAGATAAAAAGGCAAGGAACTTTAATAGTGATTTAATCATATCAGAATAAGTACAAATTGTTTGAATCCAAATCAAGATTTGTGAACCTGACTAAGCTAAAACTTTGATGTATAAAATTCCAGATCTTCACTTGCATTTTCAATATTTAATTTCTCATTATGGCTCTTTCCTTGATTAACATTTTCTTCTTGTTACTAATCACGCCCCTTGACCTTTCAATAGCAAGAAAATGCATATTTTCCTCGAAGTATGTGGTACATATTATCAACAAACTTCCTTCTCGTTCCTCAAAACTGGAAATTCATTGCGCGTCGAAGGATAATGACCTCGGCTACCATAATCTTACTACAAATCAAGACTTTAATTGGTCATTTTGCGAGACATTTCTCAATAAAACTTTATTCTTTTGTCATTTTTGGTGGGGTTTAAAGGAGAAAAAATTTGATGTGTTTAACGACCCATATACCTGTGTCAAAGGTTCAGGAAATCCAAATGTTCTAACTAACTGTAAATGGGAAGTGAGGAAAGATGGTTTTTATTTGGAACAATATAATAATGTAAATGATACATATTATATGTATCACTATTTGGAGTGGTCTTAGGGAATAAGATGTTTATGTTCTTGTCTAAGTGAGAAGGAAAAAAGACTGAATTTTACAGTAGCTTCCTTTCTTATTTATCCTGATCTTGTTATTCTTAACTTCCCGTCTTTGAGAACAGTGGAATATCAGCAAGTCAATAAAAATTGCTAGTATTTATTTTCCGTTACAAATATTAGCTTTTCGACTAAAATCTTATATTGCCTTGTTGGAAAGTTGAAACCCCAGATCAATTTGGATATTAATGGCGGAATAGATTTTGAACCAGGAAGAAGAAGAAGGGAGAAGATGAAGTTAACCTAAACTTCGATATATCCTAAGTATGTATATGCCTTTGTCGGATTTCTTCTCATTCAATCTCAACCACACATCACATATTGGAGAAGGTAATCTTGGCCACACATCAACTCTGATGGAACAAATCGTGGCCCTTGGTTTATTTAATTACTGGAAGCTTCTCCTCAACTGAAGCTCATGTGAGGGAATAATTTAGTTAGGATAGGAATTTTCTGTTATATTTGCACAAATAGATATAGGACAAGTGTACATAGTATTTTCTTTATTTCTTTATTTTTATTCAACATTCAATTGTATATATATACATGTACAAACAATGAATAAGAGACACAGAAAACTTTCTCCATTCCTTGCTCGTCTGATTCAATTCTTCAGCTCAATATATTTCTCAATTTCCTTCATGGTATCAGAGCAGTAAGCTCGATCCAATATCAATCTACCAAATCCCAGCTTCACCCTTCAACTCCTAGCAAAGAAAGATGAGCATAACTGGAGATACCACAACTCCGATTGGAGAAACTCCAATTCCTGCAAATCCTCCTAAGGCAGGAGGATATGACATCAATCACCCATATCATCTCAATCACTCAGATTCACCTGGAATGACTTTGGTCAACACTGTGTTTGATGGAAAAGGCTACCCAGGTTGGAAGAGATCCATTCTCCTTTCCCTTTCAGCCAAGAAAAAGCTTGGTTTCATCAATGGAGCTTGCAAGACTCCAGTTCTCGACTCAACTGATTTTGAGCAGTGGAGTTGTGTCAATGACATGGTCACATCTTGGATCTTGAATGCACTATCAAAAGACATTGCTGACAGTGTGATTTATTCAAAAACAGCAAAGGAACTTTGGGACAGTTTGGAACAGAGGTTTGGGAAGTCTAATGGTGCAAAACACTTTCACATGCAAAAAGAATTATCAGGATTAACACAGGGTAATGCTGACATTGCAGGATATTTCACCAAACTTAAGAGGCTGTGGGATGAACTAGATGCTTTGAATGTAATCATAACATGTTCATGTGTGTGTTCATGTGATGGAAAAGCAAAACTAACTAAGTCCTTGGAGGATCAAAGGCTAATTCAATTTCTAATGGGTTTGAATGATGTGTATGCACAAGCAAGAGGAAACATTCTTATGATGAGTCCTCTACCTCGCATGGATATTGCATACTCTTTACTGCTACAGGATGAGAATCAAATAGAGATATATGCAAATGCACATTTCTCTTCAGATTCTGCATCTTTCATGGTGGCTGGACAGGGAAAGAAACCAAATGCTCAAGTTTTTGCTGATTTTGCAGCATTCATGGCAGCAGGACAAGGAAGAAACATTCAGAAGTTTAGGAATCAAAGTCCTAAAGGACCAGTGGATGGATAGAAATTCAACAATACAACTCAAAAGGCTATAAGGGGACATCAGAAATTTAGAGGGAAGAAAAAGTATAACCCTAACATCTCCTGTACCTATTGTGGGAAGATAGGACACACTCAAGAGGACTGTTTCAGACTGATTGGTTTCCCAGATGATTTTGAGTTCACTAACACAAAAGTTTATCATAATAATGTGAAGGCAAATGTGGCAGTAACTCATGAAGAAGATAGTGGAACAGGCCAGAACAATGAGGGAAACAATAGCAACTTTGGTGGACACCATTTCAGCAAAGAACAGATTGCAGAGATGATGGAAATATACAAACAAGCAAAATCAATACAAGGTGGAGGATCAGGTATCAATGCAAATGCTGTGGCTGGTACTATTCTGAAATACTCAGGTTCAGCATTTACTAGTTTAAAAACAGATTCATGGATAATTGATTCTGGAGCATCAGAACACATGTGTTTTGACCCTAATTCTTTCCTGTTTCTTATTCCACTCCCAGTACCTTTGAACATTAATTTGCCTAATTCTTTCAAGGTAAGTGTTACTCATATTGGGAGTATATCAATTCTGCCAGGTCATGTCCTAACCAATGTCCTTCATGTCCCAGATTTTAAGTATAATTTATTATCTGTCCATAAATTCTGTGTACAATTTCATTATAATCTCCTACTTACACCTAATGGATGCATGTTGCAGGACCTTTCAATGAGGAGTCCTCAAGTTTTTGGTGAAGTTAGAGAAGGTCTTTATATTCTAGAGCCTAGTAGTTTCAAGTTCAGTAATAATGTAATTTCAGTTTCAGAAGCAAGAAATTCTAGTTCTAGGTCTGTTTTAAATTCAGAATCAATTCATGTCAATGTGATACCTGATGTAAAGCTTTGGCATGAAAGGTTGGGACATGTTCCCTTTTCAGCAATGAAACATTTACATTTCTTTCATTGTGGCTCAAATTTTGATTTCATTTGTGATATCTGTCCTAAAGCTAAACAGACTAGAATTCCTTTTCCCATCAGTAACATAAAAACCAAGCATGTTTTTGATCTTATACATGTTGATACTTGGGGACCTTACAAATCTAGCACATACAATGGTTTCAAGTATTTCCTAACTATTGTAGATGACTACAGTAGAGGAACATGGACATTTCTGTCAAGTGCTAAGAGCAATGCTTTTCCCATGTTAAAATGTTTCCTGTCTATGGTGGAGAGACAATTCAATGTCAAAGTTAAGATGATAAGATCTGACAATGCTTTAGAGTTAGGAAAGGGGTCATTGGAAGCAGATTTTCTTGCATCAGAAGGAATCATACATCAGCTAAGTTGTGTTGCTACTCCTCAACAAAATGGGATTGTTGAGAGAAAGCACAGACATCTCTTAGAAGTGGCAAGGGGTCTAATGTTTCAGTCCAGTCTACCAATATCATGTTGGGGAGAATCTATACTCACTGCAACACACATCATAAATAGGTTACCTTCCAAGGTTCTCAATGGTAAGACCCCTTTTGAAGTTCTTTTCAAGCAAAAGCCTAAATATGATCATTTGAGAAACTTTGGTTGTTTATGCTATGCCTCTACTTTAAAACAAGGAAGAAGTAAATTTGATCAAAGGGCAACTGCTTGTGTGTTGATTGGTTATCCTTTGAATCAGAAAGGATACAAGCTATTAGAACTAGAAACCAAGAAGATTTTTGTTTCTAGAGATGTAAAGTTCTTTGAATCACATTTTCCATTTGCTAAACTTAAGCCCATTCACAATCCTATCTTTTCAGACTCACCACTCTCTTTGGATCCTACTCAACAGACACAGGATCGAATATCCACTGGTGAAGTTATGGAGGATAACTATCCATCCTTTCCATCCTCACCTTATTTCCACTCTCACTCCCCTGGTCCTTCTACTCCTTCCTTCACACCCTCCTCTTCTCAATCTGATTCACCTGTCCCTCACACCAGTCCCAACATATATCCAATCCAACCTCCTAACCCTGCACCTATATAAGATGTTTCACTGAGGAGGTCTGCTAGAGTTGTACAACAGCCTGGATATCTTATGGACTATGTGTGTAACAACATCATGTTTACTGACTTGGAGAGGGTTTGTTTTTCTCAGCCAACTAGACCTAGTGCCTATTCTTTCTCTTCACTCACTATCAGAAATCAACACCTGATTCAGTCCCTATCTAATTTGGATAAGCCTACCAGTTATGAACAAGTTTCTCAACACCCAGGTTGGAGACAAGCTATGGAATCAGAAATTCAAGCCCTACAGGATAATCACACTTGGGAAGTGGTGGTGCTTCCTAAAGGTAAGAAGCCATTACCTTGTAAATGGGTTTACAAGGTCAAACATTTATCTGATGGCACTATTGAAAGGCTAAAAGCAAGGCTTGTGGTAAGGGGGGATATCCAAAGAGAGGGGATAGACTACAGTGAGACCTTTTATCCTGTAGTCAAGATGACAACTATAAGATGCCTTCTTGCTGTTTCAGCAAAGAAGGCTTGGCCTGTGTCTCAATTAGATGTGAACAATGCATTCTTGCATGGAGATTTACAAGAAGAAGTATACATGAGGTTTCCAGCAGGACTTACTCCTCCCAGTCCTTCTCATGTTTTCTTATTGAAGAAGTCTTTATATGGTTTGAAGCAAGCTTCACGGCAGTGGTATGCTCGGCTTGCAGGGGCTTTAAGTTTCAAAGGATACTCATCTTCCTTAAATGATTATTCTTTATTTTTCAAGATAAGAGATGGTCTTGTATCAATTTTAGCAGTTTATGTTGATGACATATTACTGACAGGGGACGACTTGCAGAAAATTCAAAGTATCAAAGAATTTCTCAATTCACAGTTTAAAGTCAAGAATTTAGGGGATATACATTATTTTCTTGGACTTGAGGTTTTGCGAGAAAGTAATGGATTTATCATCAGTCAGAGAAAGTTTACCTTGGACATGCTCAAGGAATTTGATGTCTCTCATTTGCCCCGTGCAACTTCCCCTCTGGATCCCTGCTCCAAGCTTCAGGCTGATGAAGGTACTCCTATGGAAAATCCCATTTTATTCAGGCATCTGGTTGGGAAGTTGAATTATCTCACGAATACAAGGCCAGATCTCTCCTTTGCTGTCCTTACCTTGAGTCAATACATGCACCGTCCTTGCCAGTCACACTTCTCTGCTGCTTTACGAGTTCTCAAGTATCTGAGTACTGATCCTGGCCAAGGAATCCTTTTGTCCTCTACACCAGACTTCTCTCTTCTTGCTTTTTGTGATGCGGATTGGGCTTCTTGCAGAGACACTCGTCGATCGGTGAGCGGTTTCTTCATCACTTTAGGGGGTTCTCCCATTTCATGGAAATCCAAGAAACAGGTCTCTATTTCCCTTTCTTCAGCAGAGGCGGAATACCGCTCCATGCGCAGAGTCGCTGCTGAAATCACATGGCTTGTACGCCTTTTTGCTGACCTTTTTGCTCCTCTTACTCTTCCAATCACTCTTCACTCAGACAGCAAAGCTGCTATTCACATTGCTCGCAACCCCGTCTTCCATGAGAGCACAAAGCATGTCGAACTTGACTGCCATTTTGTGCGTCAGCAATTCCTCTCTGGCCTGATTACTCTTTCTTTTCTTCCATCTAAAGATCAGCTGGCCGATATATTTACCAAGCCCCTTTCTGGGGTTTCTCACAAAGGTATTTTGAGCAAGTTGGGGGTCGCTACTCTCCCCTCCAACTTGAGGGGGGATGTTGGAAAGTTGAAACCCCGGATCAATTTGGACATTAATGGCGGAATAGATTTTGAACCAGGAAGAAGAAGAAGGGAGAAGATGAAGTTAACCTAAACTTCGATATATCCTAAGTATGTATATGCCTTTGTCGGATTTCTTCTCATTCAATCTCAGCCACACATCACATATTGGAGAAGGTAATCTTGGCCACACATCAACTCTGATGGAACAAATCGTGGCCCTTGGTTTATTTAATTACTGGAAGCTTCTCCTCAGCTGAAGCTCACTTGAGGGAATAATTTAGTTAGGATAAGAATTTTCTGTTATATTTGCACAAATAGATATAGGACAAGTGTACATAGTATTTTCTTTATTTATTTATTTTTATTCAACATTCAATTGTATATATATACATGTACAAACAATGAATAAGAGACACAGAAAACTTTCTCCATTTCTTGCTCGTCTGATTCAATTCTTCAGCTCAATATATTTCTCAATTTCCTTCAATATAAAAGGAAAGTTTTTCTTTAGTCTCACACACATTGTAACACGCAATCCAATGCAATAAAAGTTTACTTTGTTCTCTAGCTACTGAAAAAGGCATTATTTTGTTCTGTTCTTTATTCGCGTTCAATCTAAAGATCAAGCTTGGTCTTAACATTGCGAGGGGTTTGATCGTTTATTTCATTCATTTATCTATTATTCTTAATTATTCGTGTTGAATTAAACCACGTACTTTAAACTGCATACAAATTTAATTGTTATCCAATTTTAGGGTAAAACACAATTGCCTTCTTTGCCAAGGTGTAATAGATTGAGTGTTTATATCACCGGTGTTTCCTTATCTGAGAATGAATTGAAACAATGAAGTTATCAATTAAATCAATAAAAGAAAATTGATCCGGAAGGGGTCTGCTTTGCTACAAGAAAACACAAGGAATCAAGAGGCTAGAATTAAGACTGTCGTGGAACGGAGTTTGAATTCCAAGCATTAGATCTTGTCAAGTATTCAAAGCACAAAAACTTTCTTTGATAGCATATTCCAGGATATAAGCATTGGATGAACCAGTAGAGAATATATTACCTAATCAGGCCACTCAACTTTCATGATTTCTATAAAGTGAGTGAATATTTATCAGAACATAATGTAGTGTGTCAAAACGGAGGAGAAGGAATAAGGGATCTTCCGATTCATTTTAATTGATGTTAGCATCAAAATTCACAAGGAACTACGCAATTTTTCCTTTCTCCTTTCGTTTGAAAAAAGATTGAGAACGAGTTTATCTTTTTCAATAAAAACTGAATTTGTCAGGATTGAAAGTCCTATTAAGATAGGTAATTAGGTGTTTTGATCAATTACCATGAAAATCAATGCCTCATTCAATTGCACCCTTATAGAAATACACAAAAAAGTTGGTCCCGGCGGGGCTCGAACCCGCGACCTTCGGCTCATAAGACCAACGCTCTAACCAACTGAGCTACGGGACCTTGCTTTTTCAGCTTAGGGAGTGCATAAATTCGTAACATAATGAGGCTAATCAAACTACAATTTTTACCGTTCCAGTAATAACATCAGATTGTGAATTCAACGGATGCTGCAAAAAGGAGTCAAAACCTTCACCATGAAAGACTCTTTCGTCAAAAATAAGATTTGCTAAAGGTGTAAGAAAATAGAAGGGGAACGGTTTCTTCTTATTTTGATATTCATTTTCCTTCTAACAGAAAACTCATGCCACAAAATTTCTTTTTCTTTACTTTATTTTACAGCAATTTTTCCACAACAAAAATATAAGCATGTAACATACGCTTTTTCGTCTGAAAAATAAAAAGACTTTAAACAATCCCCATACATTGTTAATTCACAATCATCTGCTTGGTAATTACCTCCGCCCTTACACCTAGCACAAGTTGGAGTCTTTATTTTGGATCAACTCACCATTGTAATTTCATTGGATTGACTACCTAGGCGAATACAATTTTTGGATTTTAATTAAATTGCGTGACGAGAGAAGAATGCTTATTTTGAACGGGTACAAAAAGATGATAGTTGATACTTCTAATTTTGAAAAGTCCTTGAAGGGTGGTTCAATGTCTCATTCAAACCATGTACTTTAGGGGAGAGGGGGGCTATGTGGTGCCACCAATTATGATATCTCAATTCTCAATTGCTTTGGAAAGAATTTGTCAGTCAAACTTGTAGAAACAAGTGAACAAATTTGTAAATTCTAAACAAGAAATTACCATAAGAAATCTGTTCATCTGTGACAACTGACAAGAGAATAGCAATATATTGTAACACAAAAGTTTTGGAAGAGCTGTGAACTTCACAGCTTTGAGGGAGATTGTGCAGTCCTAAACTGTAATGGATCCATATTTACCGAAGCATAAGGAACTGAAAAAAAAAAAGAAAACAAGAATGGAGGGAGGTTCTAGAGTGCTCCAATAAGAGCTAAACCAAATTAAAGAAAAGACTCAGTATTTCCATACCCTACTCATTGTATTGGGAAAAAACTGAATTTATATAAGATGACGTGTTATGACACGTGGACCGGTCACATAGTCAAAGCGTGGTAATCAGTTAGAAGGCACGAGCAACAACAGATGCGGGAGAGAAGATACTTAAAGGCACGAGCTATTATTCAAATGAAATGAGACTCGTACCTGTTCGAGTCATTTAAAGCTCGAAGATCGGAAGGAATTGAAGAAATGAATCTGATAGCGTAAAGGAGTCCAAATTCAGCATTAAATGCCAAATACGTTGAGAGAATTTGTATTTAATAGGAATGATTGAGTAACGTTTCTTTTAATGTCATTTATTGCTCATAATTGCCTCATTAAGACAAAGGCATTACACTTTCTCCTAGAATTAACTATAAAAGGGGAAGGTCTCAACATCTGTAGGACACGAAATATCATTGAGATTATACTGAAATATATACTTATTCATTGCTTTATTGTTGTTCTCAAAGTCTCTCATTTCTTGATTATCAGTAAACCCGATTTCTCTCTTAATTTCTAGCTTTAACCAAATATTCAGTTTTTTGGTTAAACAAATTGGTTCCGTTAACGGAAATCTGATAATCTATTCTTTTTAAGTTACATTTTATCTGTTGTTATCATCATGTCAAACAAAAACAAAAACAATAACGGTGATGAAAATCAAATCCATCAGAATCAAGGAGATTTACAAAACATTAACGTGGTTCCTTCCCCTCAAAATTCACCACGTCAATCTCGTGAAGGTATTCCTGCTCCTGAATCTCGTGCTGATGAACAAGAGC